CTCTCTGACCTATTAGGAGATAGAAGAGCTTGCTCATTGCAAAATATCAAGAGGAGGAGCTCTTGCAGAAGTCATGACCTGTTAGGAACCAGAGGAGATAGAAGAGCTTGCTCATTGCAAAAGGGGAAGCGGAGGAGCTCTTGCAGAAGAGGCAAGGAGCTCCTTCACTTGCTACAAAGACACAGAGGAGCTTTCAGACGACGTATATTCAGAGATAGCGAAACTCGATCACGTAGAGATAGAGACTCTTTAATAGAGACTAATGAGTTATGTCATGTCTCATTTATCGGACAGAGAATGGCCCAGGGCGACCTTCAAAACTCTTCATTGATAGAGAAGCTATTTCGGAAAACAAACATGGTGGAGAACTCTCTCATTCCTGCAATGTGATACAGGAGGTCTCTCATGACCTCTTGTGAGATAGAGACCGGTTGCATCAGGGAAGTTTTCCCTGGAAACCCTTTGCTATTCCCTTACTTTGGTGCTGAAACCATCACGTTCTTGTTCCTTAATGCCCCAGTAAACCCTTGGAGAAAGAGGTGTTTTCAAGATGTGGTGGGGTATCTCATGTAGGAATGTACAATGGTTAGACACTAGCGCTCTTGCTTTCAAGAAGCAGTCTTGCAAGTAATGGCTCTGGGTTATGTCACGGGTTTGTTACGGTAATAGGCAGACTACACAAATACACCCTCCATTAAATTCCCGTAGCCCTATAAACCCTACACCCTGCACGCGAATCCTGAGCCCCCTAAGACTCCTATGCCCCCTACGATGAGATATAGTTCATGGGAGAGCTCTTATACCGTTTATGAATGCATTCTTCTATCTTTGAGATGAAAGAGCTCCTCTATCTTCTCATAGGAAATGAAAGAGATCCTGCATATGAAAAGAAAAGACCCTTCGAGAAAAGTTAAAGAATGGTAACGAATCCATGTCATCAATCTTTTCATGCGTAATGAGAGCGCTCCACACTCTTAATGGGACATGAAAGAGCTCCTCCATTTCTTTGAAATCAAAACCTTGCTTTCTCCCTGAGTGACAAAGATCTCTTGGAAATGAGAGATCTCTGCTACCACTTTCGAAAAAATGAGCTCCTATATCTCGGAGTCGGAAAGATAAAGATGTGAAAAGGAGCCCTCCCAAACCTACGAGGCGCCAGAGCACCCGCCCGCAGCTTTTCAAGCAGGAGAAAGGCTCTTTCGTAAGGGGCGGAGGAGCTCTGTCATTCCCTCAACCAGAGGGAGGGGAGCCCTCTCATGACCTATTCAAGAGAGAGGAGATAGAAGAGCTTGCTCATTGCTCTTTAGGATGCGGAGGAGCTTTTGCACAAGAGGCAAGGAGCTCTTCTACTTCTACAAACGCATAGAAGAGCGTTTAGATGACCTGTTACGAAATAGAATAAATGCTGTCTCACGTAAGCGAGAGAGACTGATGAGTTATGCGACGCTCCATTTCAGGGATAGGCCTTCGAAACCTTCAATTAGGGTTGATCTCTCGCAAAAAGGTAAAAGAGCTATGTCATTTCCTACGAAGCGATAAGCAGCCTAGAGACAATCGGCTTCTCTCATGTTTGCTTCATGGATAGAGAAGCTTTTCTCAACCAAAACCAAAGAGACGGATCATGTCCCATTGAAAGATAGACGAGTTCTGTCTTTGTACGTTACGAGGTGGGGGAGCTCTTTCACAAGAGGTAGGTAGAGGACTCTCTCATGTCCGGCAAAGAGATAGAGACGATCTTTCATGACCCGCTACGAGATAGAGAGCCTCTTTCATGTAAAGGGTAAGATATAGAAGAGCTGTGAGCTCCTTTACCTATCGACGGGAACTCTTATAGCTTTCATGAATGAGTTCTTGCCAGTGAACAAAGGGAGCTCTTTCACAAAGGGTAGATAGAGACCTCTCTCATTTCCTGTAAAAGAAAGAGGAGGTCTCTCACGACCTGATTATTGCGAGATAGAGAAGCTATGTCATATAAAGATAAGAAATGGTAGAGCTGAGGACTCCTCTGCCTAGTGACGGGAAATCAGTTAGATAGGACATGAGAGAACTCTCATACATTTCTTATGAATGAGTTCTTCAATCTCTGAATAGAAAATGAATGAGCTCCTGTGTCTTCGCATACGAAATGACAGTGTGGAAATGAGCTGTCTCATGACCTGTTAGGAAACAGAGGAGATAAAGAGCTTGCTCATTGCAAAAGAGGAAGCGGAGGGCTCTTGCAGAAGAGGCAAGGAGCTCCTTCACTTGCTGCAAAGATACAGAGGAGCTTTCAGATGACCTATTCAGAGATAGCGAAACTCGATCACGTAAACGATAGAGATTGAAAAGTTATGTCATGCCCCATTTCAGGGATAGAGAATGGCCTTCCAGACTTTCATTTCGAATAAAGGAGAGATCTGTCACAGAAAGGTAGAAGAGCTATTCATTTCTTATTATATCACGGGTAGACAAGCTTTTTCTCAAATACAAACAAAAAACCTGGCTCATGCACCATTGAAAGATAGACGAGTTCTGTCACTCTCGATCACAAGGTGGAGGAGCTCTTTCACACGAGGTAGGTAGAGCACGCTCTCTTTTCTTGCAAAGAGATAGAGAAGATCTGTCATGACTCCATGAACCGTTACGAGATAGAGAAGCCTCTTTCATGTAAAAGATAGGTCATGGTAGAGCTGAGAGCTCCTCTGCCTAGTGATGGCAAACGAGAAATAGGAACCAAAGGAGATAGAAGAGGTTGCTCATTGCAAAATAGGAAGCGGAGGAGCTATTGCAGAAGAGGCAAGCAGCTCCTTCACTTGCTGCACAGACACAAAGGAGCTTTCAGATGACCTGTTCAGAGATAGCGAAACTCTCTCACGTAAACGATAGAGACTGATGAGTTGTGTCCCCATTCAAGGGATAGAGAATGGCCTTCCAAACTTTCATTTCGGGTAAAGAAGAGATCTGTCGCAAAAAGGTAGAAGAGCTATGTCATTTCTTATGCATCGATAAACGGCTACTCGCATGATTTCTTCATCGATAGAGAAGCAGCTATTTCTGAATAGAAATTCACAATGGAGCTGTCTCATGTCCCAGTGAAAGATAGACGAGTTGTGGCATTTGATTTTGAGGTGAAGGAGCTCTTTCACAAGAGGTAGGTAGAGGACTCTCTAATGTTCTGCAAAGAGATAGAGACAATCTTTCTTGACCCGCTACGAGATAGAGGAGCCTCTTCCATGTAAAGGGTAGGATGTGGTAGAGCTGTGAGCTCCTCTACCTATCGACGGGAAATTAACAAGAAAGTACATTCGAGAGCTCTTACAGCTTCTATGAATGAGTTCTTGTGATTGAACAAAGGGAGCTCTTTCACAAAAGGTAGATAGAGACCTCTCTCATTTCCTGCAAAAGAAAGAGGAGGTCTCTCATGACCTATTGCGAGATAGAGAAGCTATGTCATATAAAAGATACGAAATGGTAGAGCTGAGCGCTGGTGACGGCAAATGAACTAGGTAGGACATGAGAGAGCTCTTATACATTGTATGAGAGATTTATTATATCTATATCTCTTGTGAACGAGTTCTTCAATCTCTGACTAGGAGATGAATGAGCTCCTGTATCTTCTCATACGAAATGACAGAATGGATATAAATGATGTCCTCTAGCTGTTAACGCAACATGAAAAAACCTCCTCTATCCCCTAAAAGAGAAGGAGAGAGGGAAGCCCGCTCATGACCTATTAGGAACCAGAGGAGATAAAAGAGCTTGCTCATTGCAAAATAGGAAGCGGAGGGCTCTTGCAGAAGAGGCAAGGAGCTCCTTCACTTGCTGCAAAGATACAGAGGAGCTTTCAGATGACCTATTCAGAGATAGCGAAACTCTATCACGTAAACGATAGCGAGAGATGCGTTATGTCATGTCCCATTTGATGGACAGAGAATGGCCCAGAGTGGCCTTCAAAACTCTTCATTGATAGAGAAGCTGCGAAGCTATTTCTGAAAATCGACATAGAAGAGAACTCTCTCATTTCCTGCAGCGTGAAAAAGGAGGTCTCTCATGACCTATTGCGAGATAGAGAAATTTCAGGTAAGAGTTAGGTAATGGTAGAGCTGGGCACGCCTCTGCCTCTTGACGAGAAATGAGCTCGTGTATACTTCATGAATGCGTTCTTCTATCTCTCAGATGAAAGAGCTCCTCGATCCTTCTTATAGGGCATGAAAGAAATCCTGTGTTCGAACTGAAAAGACCCTTTGATAAGCAAAAGAAAAAGGGAAACGAATCGATGCCTTCTATCTTTTAGTGCAGAGCTTCTCACTTCTAATGCGACATGATAGAGCTCCTCTATTCTCTTGGAAATGAAACAGCTTGCGTTCTCTCCTGAGTGAAAGATGTCTCTGTCGTGGAAATGAGATCTCCTCTATGTTTCTAAGAAATGAGATAGCTCACCTCTACCTCGTAATCGGAAATGAGAGAGCCCTTCGCCCCTCTTCAGGCTATGAAACAACTTGTCTATCTCTTACTTCAAAGTGTGCTAGAGCTACATGGCTGCACTTGCTGGCGCCGGTGCACACACAGACCAAACCTTCACTATTACTGTTACTACTACTAATACTATTACTAGAATTATTACTATTCCTATTCCTATGACTATTACTAGTACTATTATTATTCCTATTACAATTACGGTCAGTATTATTATACTCATAATAATATTAAAATTCTTATTATTATTGCACTACTACTGAAAGAAGAACCAGCCGTGAAATAGACCCTAAAGGTCTCGGCCACATACATATATACATATATACATATATACATATATACATATAGACATATATACATATATACATATAGACATATATACATATATACATGTGTACATATATACATATATACATATATATATATATGAATAAAGATAAACAAATATATATATATATATATATATACATTTATTTATTTATTATCTTTATTTATTATCTTTATTTATTTGTCTTTATTTATACATTTATGTACCTGTTGCTCTGTCACCCAGGGTGCAGCACCCGCACGAGGCACAGAATTCCCGGTTCCTTTGCTCTATCTTGCAAACTCATGGTACTTATATATTAACCAATTATATCTGTACGTAGTATAACCCACTTATAAGCCCCCTTAACTGCCTTAATTTTGTTGCACGAACAGTTACAAGATGTTACAAGTACAGTTATAATTGGTTAATAAGTTAACCCTAAACCCTAAACCCTAAACCCTAAAACCCCTAAGTACAGCTATAATTGGTTAATAAGTACCACGAAGCTGGGAGTATCTTGCAGACTCTCAGCTCGTCAAGTGCGAGACTTCGTGCCCGCCTCCAGGCAGGATCCCACAGCGGAGGCCTCCAAGGAAAGCGTAATTAGGGCCCTAAACCCTAAACCCTAAACCCTAAACCATAAACCCTAAACCCTACCAGGCTTGTCAACAGGCTTTCACTGGCAAAAAGCGGCTTCGATCATCTGTCCGAAACCTGGGCCCGTAAACTGCAAGGAGCATGCACGTGGCCTCCACGCATGTGTAGCCCACTCCGCCACTAGAGGACTCAAAAGTGGACCTCAGTCTTGGGACAAAACGCGGGCACCCCGCAAATCAACAAGACGAAGCCTCCCCCCCCCCGCGGCAAGAATCGTCCGCCTCCCTATGCGCCAAACTCTGAAACCAGAATGGTCGTGAGGGCCAAAACATTTTGTGATAATTTGTGGCCTCGCAGGCGTCCGCTTCGCTATGCTTCTAACTATGAAACCAGAAGGCCAGAAGGGTCGTGAGGGCCAAAAAACATGTTGTGGCCTCGCAGACGCTGGGCCACGAATGAAAGTTGTCTTGGTGGTGCGAGAAAAGGCAGCATAGGCAAGCAGCCAGCAGCGAGGCGTGGGCTCAACAGGCCCAAGACTATAGAGAATAGGACAGGGGGACCCTTGGGGAGAAAGACCCTCTGAATAGGGTCCCTGTTTAAGAGAGCCAGAAGAGGGTGAAGAAGGGGTTCCGTTTTAAGGGCCCCCCCTTATCCTAGGAGACTCGCGGTAAGGTCAACTCTGTCACCATCTTGCTCGCCGAAGCACTGGCTTTGCCTCATGCCACTCAGGAGCATCCCCGGCGGACATGCCACCCTGAAGGCAGACGCACTCTGCACCTGGGAAGGGCATTTTGTGGGGTAGCAGCAACTGACATCCCAAGGGTGTCTTCAGTCAGGGCTCACACTCACACACACACACACACACTCACTCACACTCACACTCACACACACACTCACTCACACACACTGACACTTACTTCCCACACAAAGCAACAAAGGGCAGCTTCATTGGTAGCCTCTGAAACGCAGCCGGAAAAATTGTTTGAGTGGCTCGGGCTCCGCACCTGCTGTGCCAAGCGTCCATCGGCTCTCTCGCAGTCCTCTGCGTGCCACCGTCGTCGCTCAGGGCCGACTCGGGGCCGAGGGTGTCAAAATGGGAAAGGCTGTGAGTTGGGAAAAGAGAAGCGATTCAAAGCTATCCCTGTGGCACCTTCTTTGACGAAGTCATGGGGCGAAGCCCTCCTGTGCGAAAGAAAAGATCTTCACGGGGGCTGTCCTCGAGGCCATCGAAGCCGAAACACCTGATTTCAGAAGCCATCCCACTCTGCATGAGCTGCCGCCCTGGAGTGTCGAAGGACCTTGGGGGCTTCCGCCGTCTGGATGTTTCTCAACCGCCAGTTCCTGCTAACTACGACTACGATGGCGATGGTGATTGTGATCATGACGGGGATGATGCATGCTGGACTGACAGGAGATGACAGATGTGGTGATGACAACAAGGCTCAGGACGAGGACAGGGACGACGGCGCGCGAAGTGCGGATATATGATCCCAACCATGCGGATATGATCCAAACCAACCGATCCTCAAGAGATCAAGACCCTTGGACCCTGAGGCAAACTCCAAAGGCTAATGGCATGCCAGCTTGCATCTCAGGGCAGGTGAATCTGTCGCTGTTCAGGAGATCTGCGCAGGACAGCACGACAGCTCCGTCTCCTCTCATTCAGCTATAGGTGCTTGTAACTCGTAGGGATGAAGCAAGAACTAAGGACCTAATCCGCTTGGCTCCAAGGACCGTAGCTCTGACAGATAGCAGATGTGGGGCGGAATCCATGGTCTGTTGGGGAAAGAACGCTTTTGTCCGATCTAACCAATCAGGCCGACAGCTTAGCAGGGAGCTTGTTGTTCCCGAATGCCGAACGAGAACATGTGCGCAAACACTCTAAGCCCTCTATACTCTTCGCACTTCTCCACCCCAACCTTCTTCCCCAAACCCTGAACCCTGAACCCTGAACCCTGAACCCTGAACGTTCAACGTTGAACCCTGAACCCTGAACCCTGAACCCTAAACCTTCCTCCATCAAAGTGGTGAGACGGGCTTCGGGCTCCTCCCAGGTAGAAACAGAGGGAGTCCAAGGAAGCGGATCGCAGGACTTGCACGTACATCTGCACCAGGGGGAGGCAAAAGGCAACAAAGGCTTGACACGAAGGGCTGCCCTCCCTTTAACCCTAAACCCCAAACCCTAAACCGTAAACCCTAAAACCCATGTGGGGATACGGGGGCTTCAGATTTTCGCGCGTTCGCGAATCCTAGCTGCTAGGAATTTAGGGCCTTCTGGACATGAGGGCTCACAGCAGATGTGCGATATTCATGGGTTCCCCTACTACCCCCCTCTAGACTACCTCCTTCCCCCGATTATTGAGGCCATTTAGGGTTTAGGGTTTAGGGTTTAGGGTTTAGGGTTTAGGGTTTAGGGTTTAGGGTTTAGGGTTTAGGGTTTAGGGTTTAGGGTTTAGGGTTTAGGGTTTAGGGTTTAGGGTTTAGGGTTTAGGGTTTAGGGTTTAGGGTTAGGGTTTAGGGCTTGCAGCATGGAGCCATTCAGGGTCGCGCATGCGTCACTCTCCGGCTGCCCGCCTCGCCCATGTTCCAGCAGGTCGTGGAGATAAACCTTTGTGTTAAGGGGGTAAGAGGCGGGACCCCTAGAAGGGACCCCTGAGCCTTATTCCCCTCTACACCCCCTTTACATGCCTTATGGAGTCCCTATACCTAGGTAGCCCCCAAATAACCCCTGAATTACCCCTGAGGCTTCCTTATCAGGGTCCCTCCTGTAGTCCCTTGGTTGTGGTCGCGTACACCGTTGGGGCAAGATCCTAACATAGCTGCATCAATAGGAAGATGTTTTGAATTGTAGGCATATAAAGGGACATGAACAGGACTATACTACAGGGATATGGAAGGCTGGATGGACGTCGTCTCCCTGCCTGCGACACGGCCAAGGGGCAGGAGTGGGCGCCTGTGGTGGTGTTGCAACGAGCATGCAGACTACAACCTTGCGGGCCGGGTGGCAAGCTGGGACAAGAGCTCGTGCGCCACCTGCCTCATGGCTTTTGCCCGCGCAGGACGGCGCGAGGCTGAGGGGTGAGCTGCTTCTGAGTGGCGATAGGCGCAACATCCGCGTACTGGTGTGAACATGCGCACGAGGAGGCAATGCAGGCAATGTAGAGGCGATGGGAGAGCATGCTTTTGGGCACAAATCCACCGGGGGGCCAACGCGATTCTGGGGGCCCCGCTTGCTAAACCCTAACCCAGGGTTTGGTTTGCGTGGGCTTGGGATTGGCAATGCCAAAGCAGGACCAGCGCCGGGGTTTACGAGTTTGGAAAGTCGGATAGCTCAGTGTGCAAGCTTACTCCTCATCAACGAGGTGTACGAGGGCATGCGCTGCCTCATGACGACATCCAAGCTTGCCCAATGGAGTGGTAGCTCAGGCACCAAGTCGGAAAAGTTGATGGAAATAAACCTGTTCCGGCTGCAAGCCACCTTCAAAACAAAGTTGAAATATTTTGCATGACGGGCCTTCATGTTCGGGAACTTTGCCAAGTTCTTTCGCCTGCCCTGGCGGAAAAGTTGCAAGAAGTGCGGCTCCTCAGCAGCTGTGGGGACGGAATGTTTGAACTGTCTGAAAATTACCATCTTTGGCCCAATCCGGGCTCCGGCCCTACTCGCAACATTTTTAATGGACTGCTCAGCGGTTTAGGGTTTAGGCTTTAGGGTTTAGGGTTTAGGGTTTAGGGTCTAGGGATCCTAGCGACACTACATGATAAGGACTCTGCCGCAGTCTGAGCCAGTCCGGTTTCCTCGCCCCATGCTCGATCCCTAACAGCACCCGGATCAACTTATGGCGGTTGAGTCAGCATACAGTTACACCTACCCTAAACCCTAAACCCTAAACCCTAAACCCTAAACCCTTGTTCCGTGTCGTTGAGGGTTTAGGGTTCAGGGCCAGCTTGGGGTGAAAAAGGGTTGATGACTGATTCGAAGATTTATGCCGTGATACATCCCCATACATATTACCCTTTAAGGGATTGTATACGGCACCTCCTTCCATAATTCCTTAATATCTCAAACCCTACACCAAACCCTCAAACCCTCAAACCCTCAAACCCTCAAACCCTCAAACCCTCAAACCCTCAAACCCTCAACCCCTCAAACCCTCAAACCCTCAAACCCTCAAACCCTCAAACCCTCAAACCCTCAAACCCTCAAACCCTCAAACCCTCAAACCCTCAAACCCTCAAACCCTCAAACCCTCAAACCCTCAAACCCTCAAACCCCTCAAACCCCTCAAACCCCTCAAACCCTCAAACCCTCAAACCCTCAAACCCTTAAACCCTTAAACCCTTAAACCCTTAAACCCTTGAACCCTTAAACCCTTAAACCCTACCCCTGAAAATCCCCTACTCTCAAGACAAGAAGCTGCCACCAACTCAGGCTGGAGATAACCCTTAAACCCCTAAACCCTAAACCCTAAACCCTAAACCCTAAAACCCTAAAACCCTAAACCCTAAACCCTAAACCCGAAACCCTAAACCCTAAGCCCTACTACTCATGTCAAGAAGCTGCCACCAGCTTAGGCTGGAGATGCAGGAGCCAAAGCTGACTTTGTCTCCGGGACTCGAACCGGCCAGCAAGCAGTCGCCCTCGGAGCTTTGAGGGTTCTCAGGGTTTAGGGTTCTCAGGGTCTAGGGTTTGGGGTCTAGGGTTTAGGGTTTAGGGTTTAGGGTTTAAGGTTTGGGGTTTAGGGTTTAGAGTTGAGGGATTAGGGCAGGTCCTCAAGAAAGTTTCCGGTGCAGGGCATAGTTTGAGGGGCTTAGGGTTTACCGAACCCGAAGCCCCAAAAAAAGAAACACAAAAAGAAAACCCCTCAAGCTTCTGAACCCTCTAATTACCCTCCAAAACCCCAAGCCCTACACCCTCTAAACACCTCTAAACAACCCTAAACGCCCAAACCCCAAACCCCAAACCCCAAACCCCAAACCCCAAACCTCAAACCCCAAACCCCAAACCCCAAACCCCAAACCCAAACCCCTTGGGAGTTGCTGAAAAGTGTCGGCATACTGGAATTGGACGCTGCTGAACCTCATTTGGGGTGAGGCCGGGATCTCGTAGCTTGCAAGAGCTATGAGGGTGTAGGGTTCAGGGCTGTAGGGTCGTAGGTTTGTAGGGTTTAGGGTTTAGGGTTTATAGGGTTGTAGGGTTGTAGGGTTGTAGGGTTTTGGGTTTGGGGTTGGGGGTTGCAGGGTTTGGGGTTTCGTGGTTCCTTGACTTTCGTCGGCACTGCGTGGTGAGTGGAATCACACTGTCCATTCTCAATCAAGTGCAGCAACATGGGCTCTGCAGGACGCCTGCTCAAAGCCAACTGAGCAAACCCAGCTGCAATGCTACGCTCACTACACCCAAAAGCAGATGCTTCAGCGACTGACGTCAAGTTACTTTTGGGGCACTTCATGGTGGACTCTACGTGGAGTACCACAAAACAGACCACCATTTAGAGCCAGCCTGGTTAAGTCAAAACCCGAAGACCCTCGACCCCAAAAAGAACCCCAAACCCGAGCTCACCCCCCTGAAGCAACATTGGCCCTAGACCCTAAACGCGAAACCCTAGACTCGAAACCCTGAACCCTAAACCCTAAACCCTAAACCCTAAATCCTGCGCCGTGGGAACGGCATCTCCACGTCGACCACCCCGCGGATGGGCGTGGTACTACAGCCCATGCTTATGGGTGCGGACCTCGGGTCGGCGGCTCAGCGGCTTCCAGGTTTAGGGTTTAGGGTTTAGGGTTTAGGGTTTAGGGTTTAGGGTTTAGGGTTTAGGGTTTGGGGTTTAGGGTTTAGGGTTTAGGGTTTAGGGTTTATAGGTTTAGGGTTTAGGGTTTATAGGGTTTATAGGGTTTATAGGGTTTATAGGGTTTATAGGGTTTATAGGGTTTATAGGGTTTATAGGGTTTATAGGTTTTATAGGGTTTATAGGGTTTATAGGGTTTATAGGGTTTATAGGGTTTATAGGGTTTATAGGGTTTATAGGGTTTATAGGGTTTATAGGGTTTATAGGGTTTAGGGTTGAGGGTTTAGGGTGTTGCTCCGCTGTTTTTTGAGGTGTTTGGGGGCTGTAGGAGAGACTTTAGGGGGGGTTGGGGGATTTTAAGGTCTCAGGGTTTTAGGCCTTTGTTTTGTGAGGTTTGAGGCGTTGGGGTTTGTTGGGCTTTTGGGCTTAGGCTCAAATGCCGTCCTCTGAACCGCCTCCTATCCCGGTCCCCCTCGAGAGGACCTTCAATGACACTTCCTTTTTGGACTTAAGAGAACCGAGCCCACACTCCATCATGAGGTTCTGGCACCTGTTTCTCCCCCACTCCCAAAATAGGTACCGGACATATGCTCGCACGATGTCGATGGGGAGCCCTTACCCTAAAGCCGGAGGAGGAAGAAAACATCCCGCTGCCCTTTTTGGTAAAGGAACGGAGTTGGGATGACGAAGGGACAGAGATCAATTGCGTCAGAGAAGGGAAGGAGAGATAGCAGAGGGGAGATGCCTTCCCTGGGTTGTCACCGTAGCCACCACTGCTCTAGCCAAGGAACAGGCTGAACTTTGTTAAAGCCTGGTCTTCCGGGCACTGGACGGAAAAGTTGCAGTTTGGCCATTGAGTAGATGGGCACAGCTGGCTAGCAGTGCCATTGTCCTCAAAAGGAGCAATCCCTTACATTCCCGGTTTCCGAAATTAGGGATGCCTTACTGGGGTCCCGTTTATACGGGAATCCTACTATTTGGGGTCTGTTGTAGGGGCCCCTTATTTTCGTAAACTCCCGTGCTGTGAAGCTAACTGTTTAAGCTGCCTACCGCATCGTGCATGCAGCAGAAGAAACCTCCCTTAGGGACCAAAGGGTCGCCTTAAAAAGAAGACGACCCTGCGAGAAGGCGACATGGGGACATCCGAGACTCGGGGTACCTTGTCCGGGGTTCTTATTCTCAGGACTCCTACACTACTTGGGGATCTAGATTGGGGCCCCCTAAACCCGAAACCCGACACCCGAAACCATTCGGTGCCCCGCATTTTCCTGTAAAAGCCCACATGGACTCCGCGTCCTGCAGCAAAGGCAGCAGCGCCTTGCGCAGCGTGGCGTCGCCGAAGGCCTGCTGCCTCATCCAGGGGGTTTAGGGGGGTTAGGGCTTAGGGCTTAGGGCTTCGGGCTTAGGGCTTAGGGCTTAGGGCTTAGGGTTTAGAGTTTAGGAGTCCGAAGAGCATAGGGAGGGGCTTAGGGTTTAGGATTTAGGGTTTAGGGTGCAGGGTTCAGCAATTGGCAATCACCTGTTTGGAGGGGTGTACTGTTTGCTTCCGGCGGGGGCTGCTTCTTGAGGGGGACCCAGCTTGAAACGACCTGCGGCCATCACTCAACCCTCTCCCCTCTCGTGGCTGAAGCGCCTCGTTAACCCTAAACCCTAAACCCTAAACCCTAAACCCTCAAGTGCCTCGTCATGGGCTCCTGGCACTCCGCGAGGCGGAGCGGCGCCTCGTCGCCAGGGCTCTTCCCGCGGCCGGCCTCCAAGCAGCGGCTCCTGGGCTCGGACTTCACGGTCCGAAGCTGCCAGCTGCTGTACCTCTACTCCCCTTAGAACCTTAACAATAATAGTTGTTGGTATCCTCTTGGGTTTTTACATAAACAAAAATAGAAAATAATTCCCAAGGGGGATATGGGTACTCCGTGCCGTTGCGGGTTCGGGTCGTGTAGTTGCTGTTCTGTACCACCGGGGAGGGGGCATAGCAGCTGGCCTTTCTGTACAGCTGCAGCAGCCCGGCCGCGGCGTCCCCCACATCCCCCCCACCGCGGCTCAGAGCGCGGCTGCCTTGGCCCGGGACCTCGGCATCCGGACAGGGGATCGCGTAGTCCGACAGCACGATCCCTGGGGGGCAAACAACCGAGAGATCCTCCAGTTGCCAAAAGCCGCCTCGTTTGAACAGACAGGCGGAAACGAAGCCCGATGCGGAGACCTGGCACAAGAAAGGCTCGTCTGGGGGCGCTTTGCAACCTGGCGCCTCCCCTGGTCCCGGGGTAGAAGCAACCCTCTGAAGATCTGGGCAGGTGGTATCAGAGACACCAGAGACGTCGTAGCGCAGGCACAGGCGCTTGGCGGGTACCAAGGTGCCATGATCATCATCGATCGCTTGCGGGTGTTGGTTGTCGACCAAAAGCTGTATCCCCATGCTCGGTGTAAAGTAGAGTTCCTGGTGGTTCTGCAGGAAGTAGGTGGCGTAGCCCTTGCGCACTAACTGCACACAGGGGCTGCATGCAAAGGCAGTGCGTGCTGGGCTTCCAGACAGGTCCAGCCATTTCCCAGCAGCGCAGGTCACAGTGAGGTTCTTTGGTGGCTGACCGGGCTTGGTGGCGGGAGTAGCTGGAGCGTAGCGCTCTGCCCAGCAGGAAACTCCCAGCTGCTGCCCCGACATGAAAGTTGAGGGCAAGGGCCGTTTATCTTGCCAGCCCATGTCATCCAAGATCGCATAATCGCACTGGTAGCAGGACCCCACAGATTGCATGCCGAGCATCAGATGCCAGTCGCACTGCTGCGCCAAGGCTTCGTAGAGGCAGCTGCCCCCAAACCGCCCCGTGCCGGCACCGAGAAAGTCGCGGCGCTGCTGAACCACCCAACATTCGCCAGGGTCTGCGCGCTGGCAGTACCGGGCATTCGAGCCGGGCAAGGCCACCAGTGTTCCACGGGCGCTTTCAGGTTGCACCAGGATCTCGCAGTCGCGGTACAAGCGGCATTGCTTGCCGTTTTCCAGGGTCCCTGCCCACATGAACCTGCAGCTCGGATCAAGGCTGCAGGACATCTCACACCAGTCCTGGTCGGAGACGCCATACTGGATGCTGAGGAGCATCTTCTGCTCACACATGGCGGAGCCCTGCAGAATCTCTATCCGCAGAGGCGCAAAGACGTTGCCGCTGCCGGGAGGCACCTGGGGGTTTCCGAAACTAGGGTTACCTTCTTAGGGGTCCTTGTTATCCGGGGCTCCTACGATTTGGGGGTCTAGATTTGGGGGTCCCCTATTTTCGTAAACTCCCGGACCTGCTTGAAAGCCTGGGCTGTGACGGGTGCCTTTGGACCCCAGACTTCCGGAAAGCACTCGCAGGGGTGCAAGCTGAAGTCATAGGGCGTGGAGGTCGTCGGGTCGTCGAGGAGCAAGGCCTCCTGGTAGCCGGTCACCGGCACCTCCAGTTCCCCCCCCCCCCTCCCGAAAAAGGCATCTAGAAGCCTCCGTAGGCTGAGTACCCCAGAAGGGAGAGCTTAGGCCGAGAGGGCTTCCCAAGTACAAGTGGTGCGACCCCCAAAAAAACCCGAGAAATCGCTGAAGAATGGGAATTCCCAAGGCACGGGGTGCTCATCGACCGTCAGGTTCAAGGCGCCGCTGCTGCAGCTAGGGCTCTGGAGAGAGAGTCTCAGGCCTTTGCCAATGTTCTCCTGCTTGGGGGGGAATTGCGATTGGGGCTCCCCCCGGGTCTTGTCTGCAAAGATCATCTAGGGTTTAGGGTTGGGGTTTAGGGTTTAGGGTCTAGGGTTTAGGGTTTAGGGTTTAGGGTTTAGGGTTTAGGGTTTAGGGTTTAGGGTCGAGGGTCGAGGGTCGAGGGTTTGGAAAACCCCTCCTTGCTGTCGCTGATCTCAACGTCCCTTGCCCCCTCGTCAAAGACCTGCTTCACCAGCGATCCAGATGATCCCGATGGACCCGACAGGCATGCCACCTGATGCAGGGCTAGGGAGCTCTTCGTGACCTCTTGCTAAACCCAAACTCGAAATCCTAAATTACAAGCTCTTGATCAGCTGCGATGCCTCGTGTTAGGGCTCGGGGGTAGGGTATTTCATGATGTCTTGCGGGATCCGTGAGTGAAGTGTTCGTACATGGAACAAGCGGTCAGTGATTTAGGGCACCCCTAAACCCTAAACCCTAAACCCTAAACCCTAAACCCTAAACCCTAAACCCTAAACCCTAACCCTAAACCCTAAACCCTAAACCCTAAACCCTAAACCCTAAACCCTAAACCCTAAACCCTAAACCCTAAACCCTAAACCCTAAACCCTAAACCCTAAACCCTAAACCCTGACCCTAAACCCTAAACCCTAAGCCCAATTGCCTGGCGACCGTGGAGCTCAACCACGTTGCGGCTCACATTCTGAAAGTCCCACGTCTCATTGGGTCGGGTAAGAACCAAAGCACCTCCACGTTTAGGGTTTAGGGTTTAGGGCTTAGGGTTTGGGGTTTAGGGTTTGGGGTTTAGGGTTTAGGGCTTAGGCTTTAGGTTTTAGGCTTTAGGGTTTAGGGTTTAGGGTTTAAGCTTTTGGTCTAGGGTTTAGGGTTTTGGGTTTAGTCAATCTTCGTGACTTACATCGAAGTCCATGATCTTTAAGGGCGACATCAAATGACTTGTTATTTTCAGTTGTGCATGATACACTAGACATTCCGCAGCACGCATTATCATTGTACATTCTACATTGTCATATACGAAACCATACATCATAAAGAATATACGAAATACAGGATGCGACATACTACATACTAACGTCTATTCCCCTGCCCAAAGACCTAACCCTTAAACCTAAACCCCAAAGCCCTAAAACCCTAAAACCCGCCAACCCTAAAACCCTAAACGCCAAAACCCAAAAACCCTAAAACCCCAACACCAAAAAAAAAAAAAAAATAATTTAAAAAAAAAAAAAAACACACACACACACACACATACACACACAAACCCCCCCCCCCCCCCCCCAAAAAAAAAAAAAAAAAAAAAACGAACGCGCTATGCTTTTGCACGCGGCACCGGGGCTGCAGGTCGTGTCAGCTGGCCTCGGAGGGCTCTTAAAACCTTCTCAAAAATACGGTTAGGGTTTAGGTTATAGGGTGTAGGGTGCAGGGTTTAGGGTTTAGGGTTTAGGGACCCCAACAGGCAAAAAAAAAATGTCCCAAGGGCCTACCGAGTGGCTGTAGGTAGAAGGATCCCTCCGCTGTGAGGCCCTCCTCGCAGGTTTCGGACTCCAGGCTTTGTTGTCGGATTTAGGGTTTAGGGTTTAGGGTTAGGGTTTAGGGTTTAGGGTTTGGAGCTTGCGCGTTTTCGGGCTTAGGGGCTAGTTGTGTCGTCATTTTTCTCGGACTTCTTAGTTAGGCGCTAGCAGCATTTCCTGATTTTTCTGGGCGATGTCGGGTTGCAGTATACTTCAAGCTCCTGCATATTTGTTTGGGGCTCTTCAAACTGGTAGCTGGTGTCCTTTTTCAGGTTCAGGGTGGTTGTTGGGGATCGAACGAGCTCCTGCACAGAGGCCCTTAACGGGTTGTGTACATACTTACATAACACATTTCCATGTATATATATATATATGTAACCCTACACCCCAAGCCCTAAACCCTAAACCCTAAACCCGAAACCCTAAACCCCAAACCCTAACCCCCTATGGACGGAAGGCGCACCCAACCGGTCCTTGTGGTATGTCCAGCCCAAGGCCCGGTCACTTGTCTCATTGAGTCCCCACCCCAGGGGACAGTAGGAGCCGTCGTAGAGCCTCAGGCTTGAAGGGGTTTGGGGTTTAGGGTTTAGGGTTTAGGGTTTAGGGTTTAGGGTTTAGGGTTTAGGGTTTAGGGTTTAGGGTTTAGGGTTTAGGGTTTAGGGTTTAGGGCCTTTAGGGTTTAGGGTTTAGGGGCCTCAGACAGCAATTGATCCTTACCGGTCCCCTGAAAGGATTCGTAAACCATGAAATCTTCCTGCGAACCTACGGTGCTCCCAAAAGGGAAGTTGCTCCGGGTACCCATGACACAATGGCGAGCCGCAGCTCGCAACGCACGCATACTTGGAGGTTCATGGTACTTATTCACCAACTATAGCTGTATTTCTACCTGTACTTAGAACCTGAACGGAGATTAAGTTTGGGCTAATCTACCAGCACACCTTTTTCCAGGCTTGAGCCAACAACGATATCGTAAGAAGTGAAACATACATCCTGTAACCTATGAAAACTCTCACATCGAATCACCCCTCCTAGGCCAGGTGATGGGTTTTCCATCCAGTGGCCTCTAACCTTCAAAGTCCTCTACTCCTGTTGTTGGCCTTTGCTTTCACACCAGTTGCTTTCCTCCTTCAGCTCTTTTCTCGTAGTGCTTCAGACCCATGGTCTTCAAGTGCTTTTCAACGGCAATCTCGGGCAGTGGTTTCGTACACAGATCCGACAGGTTCTTTTCCGTGGCGACTCGCTCGAGCTTGAGCTCGTTGCGTGCTACTTTTTCTTGAACCCAAAGTATCTTGTTTGTACGTGTCTGGTTTGCCCCAGACCTTGCCTTGAGCACGTACCCCTTGCGGCACTGCTGTCGCTGAGGATCCGTAGGTTCACTTGGATACCCCAATCGTGCAGTAGGGCCTGTTGGCTCAGTCCAACTGCACTGGCTTTCACTATCGCGTAGAATTCACTTTCTCCAGACGACAGACTCACGGTTGTCTGCACGTTGGAACTATGCTTGATACAGTGTGAGCCATACATGGTCACAATTCCCGTTGTGGACCTCCGCGCGATGAGACAACCAGCGTGGTCTGAATCACAGTACACGGTCAGGTCCTTTTGGAATCGTTGAGGATGGTACTCGTATACCAATCTTGGCTTTCCACTCAGGTATCTTCCAAGCCTCTTCAAGTCCGACCAGGCAGCTTCATGAGGTGCCTTCATGTGCCTGGCCAGGCTCTTTGTGGCTTCCGCGATATCTGGCCGATCCTGTGCCAAAAACGCGGCTCGCATAGTTATTGAGCGATAGCTTCGCTGCATCGCGTCGTTCATTGGTGGCATCTCTAGGGTCTTCATTACTTCTCCCTGTTTCTTCTTTTCCGCAGGTGTCCTTACAGCCTTGGCCTTTTCCAAACCAAGCTCTCTGACTAGAGCTTCCACATGACGGGGATCTGCTTCATAGGTAACCTTGCCGGTCTCCTTGTCATAGCAGATCAGACGGTTTAACACGACCATCTGGTCTCCATGTGTTGGTCCGATATGTCCGTCACATCGATACTCATACCGTTCGCTCAGAGCTTTGTCTAGATACGCATGGCCTTCGTCATCTGCCAAACAAAAGAAGTCGTCACCATGCACCAGAAGTCTGACATCTTCCTTCTCGTTGTAGAAGATGCATGGCCACGCCTTTCCAGCGCGGAAATCGTGCTTTGCCATAAGTTCGCTGTAGTCTCTTTGCCAAGTACTTGATGCGTCACGGGTTCCATACATGGTCTTGAGTAGAAGTCCGCACTTTCCCGGAGATTCATCTCCTTCTGGAAGTGTCACAAAGATTCTACGAGTTGCACGACCATAGAAATGGGCACGGCTGATGTCTATCAACCGCAAGGACAGCTTGCCTCCTCTTCGCGAAACGCGTAGAGTGGTCATGAGTGAACACAGAAGCTTCACTGCCTCAAGTGGCGGCATACTGCTGAACAACGCATGTTCAGGTAACAAGGCTGCTTGCCCTTGAGACTTGACTTCTCGAACTACAAGTCGGCTTCTGTAGTTCTCGTTCACATTGTCTCCCTTGTTTCTGTCTACCCACTTCAACGTGATGGGTGGTCTTCCGGTTTCTTGCCAGCAAGTCGCTTCGTCCACTTTGGTATAGACGTTCTGTTTCTTCACCCATTCGAGTTCTGTCAATCGTGCCTTCGCTACCTTCTTTGGATCGAGTTCTGCACCTGTATTTGCATCGATGACCGGTTCTTTGACGTAGAGCTCATCTGCCTTAGGCAACGTCTCGTAATGATGTTCTTCGAAGTTCGGTTCTTCATGAGGGTCAGGTCCTCCAACTGAACCAAGCTCTTTGAGTTCACCATCAAGCACTAGTTGTGCTTTGATGCCTTTGGCAATGGCTTGCACGAGTTTCGGAGGGTAACACAGTCTTGCTGCAACTTTCCCCTCCTCGAACGCAAGTTCTCTCTTCCAGACTCTTTCTTGTCCTGTTCGAGCACATGTCTTTCGCAGTGCTGCTGCTAGCGCGGCAGAGTTGGTGATCCATCTCGTTCTTTTCTTGAAAGAACTTCCTTCCAAGTTTCCACCGCTTTTGTTCACGGTCCATCTGCAAATTGGACCTTCGACCACATAGGACTCCTCACTCAGTTGTTGGTACTGAGTGTGCTCCCAAGATTTTGCACCCTTGGGGCACTCTTGGAGGTAGTACTTTTGCTGCCCTAGTTGGAACTTGTATGCTTCGACGCAGGTTCTCACCTGCTTCCTTCCAACTTCCAGCACTGACTTTTCTTTCTCTTTGCTCACCTTCTGAAGAGAATTGTAGCTTCGTTGGACTCCCGCAAATGGTCCATCGGGCGGTAGTCCCACCACGAGCGTTGGCTTCTCTTCTTCGAGCTTTCTGAACAAGGCTTCAACTTCATCTTGCTTCTGAAGTCGCCAGCCCTTGTCTTCCACACTTAGGCACAGTCCTTCATTCAAAGGAACAGATGCTTTGACATCCACACCTAGTGAACCAACCAGGTTGGATATCACTTCTGCTTCCTTTCTTGTGCATCGCATGCCTCGTGAGTGGAATTCATGTTCCAGGTAGCTCACATCGTCCAACTGCTCTGGATCTTTCACCTGCTTGTACGACAGGTCCGTGTGTTCTCCACCAGATCCTGAACTTCCACCTTGAATGTTTGCTCTGACAATTTCGGGCTCATCTGTTTCTTGTTCTTCATGATAAAGATCTTCGACATGTCTTTCCGCTTCTCGCTTTCGAGACCCTCGACTTGGGTTGTCCACCTGCATTTGGCTTGGACGTTCCAATGGTGCTCCTGCAGCTTCTTCAGCTGCAACCTCTCCTTCTGCAGGTTGACCTTCCAACGCGGGTTCTTCTTGAGCCTTTCTTTTCTTCTTGTTCTTGGCGGAATAGTCTTTGTCCATTCGTTCTATCGCCCTTTGAACTCTCTGTTTTCCTTCTTCGGTTTCCATCAGGTGTCTCTGAATGCGAAATCGACATTCCTCGTTGTGGCTTCGCTGTGGCAAATCCAACATCTGTGCTTCGCAGCCGGGGCATAGTGTGGTGTAGCCATACTTCGCCAAGTCCGACTTGAGTACATAGAGGCTTCTCGCTCTAAACTCTTTCGGATCAGGCTTTGGCTGTTCTCCCACAAGTTCCGGCATGTCCACTCGGTTCGGTGGCGCACGTTCGACTGGATTGGTCCATTTCCATGGTAGACCTCTCAGCTGGTCGAATCCTTCCTTCGACCATCGGTCTTCTTCGGCTCGCCTATGGAGAGAATGTCCTTTGACGACTCCAGTGGGTGTCATCACGAGGAGGTCCGCGTTCCTACTCGCTGTCCCCACATATCGTCCCATTGCTACTCGCGGTTCCAACGGTGAGCTTCTTTTCTTGCCCAAAGCACCCACAGGCTTGAACAAGATCTGCTCGCCAAACACCACGGTGGGCCTTCTCCATTCTCTTCCCACGGCTCTTTGGTAGGCGCTCTTGCCGTCGTCACCTGTTCGAAACCTTGTCAACAGGAACGCTGCGTGCCTCGCTATCCACGGAAGTATGCTGTGGTTCGGGTCGATCTTGAGCTGTAGCTTGCTTTCCAAGTCCGACAGCGTAGCTCGGATCATTCTCTTTACCTCTCGAACCGCACATTCAGCATAGCCATTGCTCGGCGCGTTCTCTTCGTTGACAGACGTAGGCGATTCCTTCAAAGTGATCTCAACGTCCCTCATGTTTTCGACCACGGCTTGCTTTAGTGCAACAAGCGCTGGTTCGCCATCTGAAAAGAGTATCATGCGTTTCCATCCTGCTTCACGCACTATGGAACAAAACCAGTTTGTGTTGAAAGGATGGACTCCTTTCTGCGGCAACGAGGTTGCCCATGTCCTTCTGGTTCTGTCGCATCGCACCACTAGGTGCGGCATGATGTCCTCTCGTTCTCCGTCGCTGCCTAGGAAGAAGTAGTCGGCGTGCAAGGTTGGTACTTCTCCCTCTCCAGAACGAACCGTTCTTGGATGGCTTTGCACATTGCCGCGTGCGCGCATGCAATGCACACACCAGCTCCTGTGAACCGCGTGTCCGCTCGCTTCATGCTCTGCGATCTCTCTCGCAGTTGGCTGCGACGGTCCCAAAGGAACGTTCACTTTTCTTTGTTCTTCACCAGGCGCGTCTTCTGGCTCTTCCATCCTTCCTTCAGTCCTTTCCTCTCCTTCATTCATTCCTTCTTCCTCTCTACTCTCAACTCTCTCTCTCTCAACTACGGGCCCCTGGTTTTCGCCAACCGGCGGAGCCTCCAGGTCACTAGGTGAAACCTCTACAGGTGAAACTTCGCTACCTCTCACCTTTGGTCTTACGCGTCTTGCTGCCCCGGAAAAGGGGAGCATGACAAGTCGAACACATAGACTCCGCGCCTTACGTGGAGTCTGGTAGCGCTGCGGGGGTCGTCGCGGTATTTTCTCACCAGCTTTCGCATCATCATGTTGAACTCCTTGCCAAACGCATTTTGCTTCGGGATAAGATACCCACCATTGTCTCCGAGGACGGCGTGGTGAGTCCTGCAAATATCCGAAGCCGAACCAAGAACACGATGGACGTCCGCCAGACGACCATGCAGTGTTGCATTGTTCCCGGTCGACGTGGTGCCCTTCAACTTGATGGGTCCATGGTCTGCGATGTTTTCACCGCTCGCTGTCTTGAACTTCATTTCTTCTCTGGGCTTCTCGTTTCCGTTGCCAAACTTCAGTGGCACTACCGTCACAGCGGCTCCGCTGTCGAAGTTCACTTCGACGCGTTCCTGGCCGCGTTGCGAACCACGGCCTCCGGACGCCGAAACGGCGTTCGTGGCCATAGTCGTCTCGACCGACGCCACAAGTGCTTCTCCTTCTGGAGGGTCCCGAGGTTCATCGGGATCTCTCGGTGGCTTCTTCCAGTCGCCCCAGTCTTCGTCTTCATCTTCTTCGTCTTCGTCTTCTTCGGGCGGCTCCTTTCTCTTTTCTCCTCGGGCTTTGTTTTCTTGCTTTCCCTTCTGCTTGCCCTTTCCTTTGTTCTTGTTTGCAAGCCTTTTTCTTCTCATGGCTCTCTTTTCGTTGACTCTCCGCCGTCTCTCCGGGTCAGGCGGCTTTTCCACCTTTTCCTTTCTTGGCTTCAGCTCTTCTTCGTACTCCTGGCGGTAGTATGTTCTCTCCTTTCTCGTCAGCGGCACCGCGACCGAACTCCGGACTGTGCTTGGGTCGATCTCCTTGCCGCTGCTGTCGACGGTCACGGTCTCGACGGCATCGACTTGCACCTTGTCTTCTTTGCGCCCGGGCACTGTGCTAAAGTGCTTTGCCCAGGCCTCTTGCATCTCCACGTTGAGCGTGGCGCGATGCTTTTCTCCTTGTTGGCGCTGCTGCGCAGCTCGCCTTCTTCCTTTCTCTTCCTTCCACGCCTTTGCGTGTGACATCCCTTTTGCGATGGCCGCACGATATCTCGCATCGTGCACTGACTGGTCCAGTCGTTCTGCTGCTTTGGGCGCAGGCCTGGCCAATCCGCGTTCTTTCAACTTTGCGATCTGTTCGAGGATGCTTTCCAGCTCGGCCTCGATCTGCGACTTTTCCTCAAAGTCGTCCTCGCTCATTTCTTCTTTCTTGAACTCCTCGAGCCTTTTCAGCAGGCGGCCCCGATCTTGCGTAAGACTTCCTAACAGGCTGCCCTGCAGCATGTTCTGCATCGCCGCCGACGAAGACATCGACGTGGCGTTTGCTGTCGCGTCACTCGCTTTCGCAATAGCCTTTGCTTCAGCCTTAGGCTTTGCTTCCGCTGGCGCAAGCTGTTGACCTTGCAGAGCTCGCATCCTTGCTGCGTGCTCTTCCCTAGCGCGGGCCTTGTCTTTCTCGCTTGGCTCCTTCGGCCGACGTTCCGGCTGGAGCTCTTCTACTTCTAGCTCAAAGCCTCCAGCGGGCGAAACGCCCGAGTGGCTTGTTGGCTTCCTTCTTCCGGGAGGTCCTTGCTCCTCCTCTTCTTCGTTGACCTCCACGGTCTCGTCGCTTTCCTTGGGCTCCTCTTCCTCCGACCATTCTTCCTGGCCGCTGCTCGGGGGCTCCACACTCTTCCCTTCGGATTCTTCCGAAGCTTCTTTCTCTTCCTTGGGTCCTTTCTTGCTGGGTCCCTTTCTTTCTCCCGGTGGCTTCAGCATACCTTCTCTACGCAGCAAACTTCTCGCGAGTCCAACTGGCGGCGGCTTCTTGAGGCTCTCGTATTCTTTCCTTTTCCTCGCAAGGTATTCTTGCACAGCTTTCCGAGTCTTTCTTCTTCTGCTCCGACACGTGCTGCACGCACTTCCTTGCTTCTTAAGGATCTGTTGTCCAACGGTTCCAGGCGGCAGTAGGTGACGGATTCTCTCTTGGTGCTCTCTGCGTTGGCTGTAGTTCATTTTCGCCCAATCTTCCTTCGACTTTAGTTCTCGCATCACTCTGAGCGTCAGCTTCTTCTTTGGCTTGTATCTGCTTCCTTTGGTTTCCTCGCTTCCGCTCGCTTTCTCTTTATTCCTTTCCTCTTCGTGCTTCTTGGGGTCCTCGCTTCCGCTCGCTTTCTCTCTATTCCTTTCCTCTTCGTGCTTCTTGGGCTCCTTGCCCGAAGTCCTAGGTGACTTCGGGGCTCTTTCCAGTGACCTTCCACGCTCCCGACTTCCTCTTGTCTTGACTGGCGGTGGTCCCTTTGGTTCCGCGGGCCGAACGGACCCTGGAACTGGAACTCTCCCACCGGACTTTGGCGTGGAACTTTCACTGGTGCACTTTGGTCTCGGCAGCATTTGCGCTGCCTTCGCTCGAACCGACGGTGGCTTCACCGGTTCAGCCGGCTTTGTGCTTCCTGACACTTTCTCTTTGGGAGGCGGCGGCCCTGAAGGCGGTCTCACGAAGGCAGGTCTAGGCCGCGCACCGAGCGAAGCACTCGAGCTGGCCTTGGCCTCCTCCTTTGCCTTTGCCTTGGCTGGCACTGCTTCTTCTGGTTGCGTATTCCGTGCTTTAGCTCTCCTAGCCTGGAGCGCCGCCAAGCTTTCAAGCAATGCGTCCTGTAGTTCTTGTGCCTCATCGTCGTTCAGTCCTTCCAGCTGTTCCGGGTCTATTCCCGCATTTCGCAGGCGGTCCCCGAAACCCGGCATTTTCCTTGTTGGGCCTCCGGACCCGCTTGGGCCCGAAACGGCTGCGGAACTCTTTCCCTTCTTTGTCTCTCTTTCTTCTGTCTTCTCTTTTGTCTTCTCTTCCTTCTTCTCCTTCCTTCCTTCCAGGCCGCCTATTAGCAGCCCGTTTCCTTCATTCCATTCGCTTTCCTCCGGCCATTCCTCCCAGCTTTGTTCTCCTGTCCATTCGTCTTGCTCCCAAGGCTCTTCGTTTTGGGTTCCTTCTTCTTGCCACTCTTCGTCACCAGTGGCTTCTTCTAGGCTGTTGGTGTACTTTCCTTTTCCTTTGCCCTTCTTCGCCTTGCCTTTGCCCTTTCCGCTGGAAGTCTTTCCCTTGCCTTTTCCCGCTTTGGGACCTTTAGTCCCCTTGGGATTCGGCTGACCTCCTTTGGGGTTTGGGTACCCCTTGGGCTTTCCTTGTGTTCCTTTCCCTGGACCTTGTTTTGAGTAGCTTCCCTTGGCGCCTTTTGCTGAAGACCAGCAATCGGCTGCCTTGTGTCCTGTTCTTCCACAGTTGTTGCAGGTTCCCAGAAACTTCGTTTTCTGCTGGTGCTTGCCTAGGCCTTTCCCAACAGATGAAACATCCATCGGGTCGCCGAGGGCTTCTTTGCCAGCAATTTGGGTCGTCGAAAACGCTTTCAAAGTCTTGCCCGTGCGGTGTTCCACATACCGTGTAACTTCTTCAAGCAAGTCTTCGAAACCCGCAAACTTCGACTGGTTCAACTGCACATGAGCTTCCAAGTCTTGTGGCAACATGGATTCCAAAGCTGCAATCTTGATCTCTTCTGGAATCTTTCCTCGATTTCCGGAAGCATCCTTTCTTTTCTCATACGATGCGATTGCATCAAGCCATTCTTCGATCGCTTGAGGCAGGTGTTCAAGCTTTTGTTTCTGGGGGTTGATCACCGACTTGAGCATGGATCTTTTCCTGGATGCTGTAGCCGGATCATACCTCCGAGCTAGTCTTCGCCAAGCCTCAAACCCGTTCGTGTTGCAGTTGATGACAATCGCAAACGGCTCTTTCGCAGTCACCATCTGCAATGCAGACGACAACTCCATTGACTTGTCGAAGAGCTTTGGTATTCGATCTATTTCATCGGCCTTCTCGCCAAAAGCTTCCGATAGCTCATCCGACGAAATGCTTTTCTCTCTTTCTTCGCACCATTCCAGAACTTCTCGTAGCTCTGGATAGATTGAGCACACATATGCCGTCATTCTGTGCCTCCAAGGAAGATACTGTTCTGCATCTCCCGAAAACATGCTCGGCTTTCCAAGCCCTTTTGTGTCTACCAACACCATCTTTCCTTTGTCGCTCGACGAGCTTCTCATAGCCTCCACCAGTTCTTTGTCTCGCTCTCTCAATGCATTCTGCAATGTTTGTCCCATCTCTCGGACAACATTCGGTATCGTGCCCAGCTGCCCTTGCGCAGCTAAGGCCGCTTGCGTAGCCTCGTTTGTCCGCTGCTGACTTTCTGTTCTCACTTGCTCCAAGTCCTGTTGGTGTTGCTGCGCTTGGCGCGCGAGTTCTTGCCTCAGCGCTGCAATTTCTTGCACTAGCTGTTCTGGAGTTGCCATTTCTCCTTTCTCTACCTCCTTGGGCCGATTCGCCCAAGTGGTTCAATCCTCCCGAGGGTGTGTCCTTGACAACAACCTCCTGAAAGTCTGCGTCCCCAGCAAAGTCTGGAGATGCAATCCCAAGTTGTGCCAAATGCGTTGCAGCCGGCGAATCCGCTGCAAACGTCGAACCAATCGTGCCCAACGTTCCTGGATGATCCTGCTTCTTCGTGCTCTGCGGCAACAGGTTCCACACATACGAAGCGGCTTCAACCGAGTCGCTCCGCTACCATGAACGGAGATTAAGTTTGGGCTAATCTACCAGCACACCTTTTTCCAGGCTTGAGCCAACAACGATATCGTAAGAAGTGAAACATACATCCTGTAACCTATGAAAACTCTCACATCGAATCAGAACCATCTTAGGGCACTTAAGGGGCTTACAAGTGGGTTCTAAGTACAGATATAATTGGTTAAGAAGTGCCATGAACCCCCAAAGTACCCAGGCCCTTGGCTAGGGAAGCCCTGGGACCAAACTACCGGTTGAAACGATGAACGAAAACCCTTTAAGTTGCCGGTATGGTCGTTGAGACTCTTCCTGGTATGGCTCTTCTTCTTGTTCTTCCTGGTATGGTGTTGAATCTCGTTCATATGAATATGTATTATAGTTTACACACCTTACACCCTAAACCCTAAACCCGAAAACCACCCTAAACCCTGCGTAGTAAGACTCTGGATGGCGACCAAGGAACCACACGGGCTGCGAGGCGGAGAGGTTGAGGCAGGTGCTCCCCACGCTGCAGTTTCCTATCCTCGGATCGACTTTAGGGCTTTTCAAAGGTTAGGGTTTAGGGTTGAGGGTTTAGAGTTCAGGGTTTAGGGTTTAGGGTTCAGGGTTTAGAGTTTAGGATTTGGGGTTTAGGGTTTTGGGCTTCTGTCAAAAAAAACCCGACAATGGGTTCCTTCCAGGGGATTATGAAGGTTTCCGTCGGTGGAGCATGTTGAGGTTCCGAAGGGTCAAGGGTGGGAACATGGGCTTCCTTAGAGGTCCTGGAAACCCCTTGTAAAGACTCTCGTTGTGTCCCTTGTCAGTAGAGCCTATAACTCCTTTCCTCCCACGTACATCATGTAGCTCAGATCTGGCTCGCCATAATGGCAGAACACGGAAGGCACAATGTCTCAGCTACGCCTGACCTGTGCCATCCGCATAAGAAAGACTGAAATGCACCAAAATGCACCAAAATGCACCGAAATGCACTGAATAGCACTGAAATGCACTTAAAGTGTTGGATGATTGGCTGACTAGAGAGTTGCAGAAGCCCACCGCAAACAAGGACGGCAAGCCCAAGCCGAAGCCCGCAGGTGGTCGAGTCCGCTACATGTGGGAAGATCTTTCCTCACAGCTACCCCTAAGCCCTAAACCCTAAACCCTAAACCCTGAACCGCTTGTCATAGCAGCGGGCTCTCCGGACCCCAGATTAGAGGGAACCCGAGAGAAAAAAAAAAGATCTGACCCCCCCCCACCACCCCACCCACAAAAAAGACCTCTGGACTCTGGAGTTTTAGGTGAGTTGGGCGGCGTTCTGGGTTCTTGGCTAGTTTCTGGTTGTGTTAAAATCCCTATGTAAACCCTCAACCCTGCCGCCATTGCGTTCAACCAGGAGGCTTCTCATAGGCACCCTCGGCCCATCGGCAGCCGCTCACATGCGGAGAGCCTTTCACTATGCTGGGTGCATGGCGTTGGGGGTTCAGAGTCTGGGTGGAAGGTTTATGGGTTTAGGGGTTGAGGGCTTAGAGTTTTGTCGGGTTGGGGGGTTTAGGGGTTCAGGGCTGAGCATGTAAAAAGACTTGCTTTCAGCTTGCGGCTCAAACGTAGCAGTTGCGGCTCAAAACATAGGCAAACAGTGCACGACCATCCCTGGCACACGCTTCTGTGGTGCTCTGGTGTTGGCGTTGTTGTCATTGCTATGATGAGTCGTAGTCTTTGTTGTGCAACAATAGTACATAGCAAGTGGTAATATATCAAGATTGCTGCTTTATGATTTGTACCTGCATGCTTGCTACTATTGTCACCCTAAACCCTAAACCCTAAACCCTAAACCCTAAACCCTAAACCCTAAACCCTACTATTGTCACCCTAAACCCTAAACCCTAAACCCGAAACCCGAAGCCCCTCTTGCACCAAAGAGCCGCAGGCGGCCAGGAAATAGCAGGCGCCCCCCCAGTTGGAATCGAAGTTGTAAACTCCACAGGCAGGTGCCTGCACGCACAGCACCCTTGGGGTTTTCATTCAGGGCTCGTTCAGGTTTAGGGCTTTTAGGGGTGTAGGGCTTAAGGCTTAGGGCTTAGCGCTTAGGGCTTAGGGCTTAGGACTTAGGACTTAGGGCTTAGGGTTTGGCTTTGGGTTTAAGGCTTAGGAACTGGTCGTATCCATCTCAGTCGGTTGGTATAGATGCTTCTTTCTGGTCACAGAGGCTGGCAGTTCCGCGGGGCATGCATACGTTCGCAAACTGCTAAACAGCCGAAATCCTGCACCGCTGGATATGTCGGCAGGGGTTCCATTCAGGTTAAGCTTCTGCGCTTATAGGGCATCATCGTCCCTGAGGGGGGGGGAGAAGGATGCACTAACTGTAAAGGCCATGGTATCACAGCAAGCCCCTGGAGATACTCACCCTTTTCTTGCCCTCAACTTGAAAATATTCTACGCATCCTCAAGCCTAAACCGTGCCTAAACCCACGGAAACCCACTCGCTCACCATGGTGTCGAAGCGGAGGAAGTGCCATCACAGCTCTGGATTGACCAAAGCAGGCAGATGCAAGTTAGAGCCTGTGCGGCGTAACGTGTGGTCTGTGGGCTAAACCCAAAACTCACCAACCCCTAAACCCCTAAACCCCTAAATCCCAAACCCCAAACTCCTAAACACCTAACCCTCTAAACCCCTAAACTTCCTGAACCTCTAATCTTCCTAAACCCCTAAAGACCCTAAAACCCTAAACCCCAAGCTTCCGAAACCCCAAGAAACCTAAAACCCTGAACCCTTAAACCCTGAACTTCCTAAACCCCCAAACCCTTCCGCCTTCCGGCATGCAGCGCGGCAGGACCCGTGGCTTGCGTAGCGGCCCTCCTTGAGGGGGAGCCGGGTCTTTTCTAGGCTGCTTGTATAGTTTTGTCTTCTGTTTTTGTGTCTTTTGAGGGGGGGTTTAGGGTTTTAGGGGTTTCGGGATGTGAGGGTTTAAGGGGTTAGATATGTTGGGGGTTTGGGGGGTAGCGAGGGGTGGTTTGTAAGGGTCTAGTACAAGACAAAGGACTGCCAGTACAAGGGAGAAAAGAAAGAGCCGCCCCAAACAGGGGTCGGAATAATTACCCATAGTATTCCCTTATTCCCTTATGATCCCTATATCATCATACCACAACAATGAGATCCTTCAAAAAGGACTCGGGCGGGCGACCCTGTGAGCCCTAGAAAACCCCAAAGCCCTAAAAAGAAAGGCTGCATTCCAGCTGCGACTTGCATGTGGAGCCACCACACGTGTGGAGTCATCACCTGGCTGACATGTCGTGCACTGCAGGAGTGACAAAAAACCACTGGATGTGGCATTTCGGGGCAGTTTCTATTGCACTCATACAGGATCATACAGGGTTGCAAGGGCAGGAATTTGGGTAACGGTAAGCATGTAAACACGCTAGCTCCCTGACTCACTGTGCAAGAAATGCCCACCTGCTTCCAACAGGTGTCGTCTTCCACTTGGATCTGGATTGCGCCAGTGACCTCAGGTGTGGTGTAATCCTAAGCCATAAGCCCGAAATTAAACTCTAAACCGTTTAACCCTTCAATATTCATGCCCAGCGGAAGGCCTCATACGTGCCCCTCATGATTTTGCCCCCAATTTTGCCCCACTTGACCTGCCCCCGACACATGCAAGGATCGCGATGCCTTCATTGCGAAGGAGACGTCCATGAATAGGTGAAGGCAGGCCCTATTTATCAACCTGCCACACTTGCCCAGCAAATACCAGGAACCACTGTGAGGGAGACTTGCGTCATCGGCATGACGCCTGACCGTGCCGCCACCAAGTGGGGGCGAACCCAGTGACCGTGATCTAGAGGGCATGATACCCTCAAGCCTAAACCCTACAACCCAGTCACCATTTGATCTCAGCGGCAGGCGTCACAGTCAGCCCAGTTTGCCATTCAAAGTGGCCCCAAATGGTGCAGTTCACCACAATGCTGGCCCGATGTCTGTCCTGGCTTTGGGTTTTCAGAGGCTTCAGGGTCTGGAGTTTACGGGTGGCGTGCGGTTTAGGGGTTAAGCTCCAGGGAAACACTATGGAGCCATTGACTGTGCTTACAGGTTTTAAAGCAAGCTTGGCAGCAGCCGCGGTTCCTGGGAGCGGAAGTTTAACGGGGAAGCACGTAACAGTAAACCCGGAACCCCCCAAGCCCCTCAACCCCTTGGACCTCTTAACCCCCCTGAACCCCCTGAACTCCAATCCCGGAACGCCCCAAAGCCTGAACGACAAATTGAAGTCAGCATGGTGATGTACGCTCCATCGTTTGGACGGTCACACACACACACACGTACACACACACGTACACACACACACACACACACTCACTCACTCACTCACTCACTCACACACACACACACACACACACACACACACACACACACACACACACCCACCCACCCACCCACCACCCACCCACCCACCCACCCACCCACGCACGCACGCACACATGCGCACGCACGCACGCAGGCACCCGCCCACCCTGCCAGCCAGTCAGGGCCACCCACACACACACACACACACACACACACACACACACACAAAACACAAAACACATAACAATAAAGAAGGGCATGCCGTTCTTTGTCTTCCCATGCTGTGCGAGTTAGCGTAGCGTTTAGGGTTTAGGGTTCACTGTCTGGCTTGCCTTTCTACTCTCCCTGAGCATATCCTTTAGGGCTTCGCGGACTTCTACATGAAGCCTTGGACCATCTTGACCGTCATAAACTGGGAGATGCAAGAGACCCCTAAACCCTAAAACCCTTAACCCTAAACCCTAAACCCTAAACCCTAAAAGGCCGCAAGTGGGGGGGTGTTTTTGTAAGGGACATGGAAATGGCATGACGTGGCCTCGGACATACTTCTGGTTCTGCATTCACATGAGGCGCGGGCATGTATGCGCGGGATTGCGGTTTGAAGCGGCTTGGGGCTAAGAAGAGTTTAGGATTTAGATATACTCATCGAGAGCCCAGATATGTTCTATCATGGGGCCCCTTCGGGGTTGTGTGGGGGCGGGCCTACGGTCCTTAATGGTTTGAATAGGGTTTGGAGGGGTTACTATAGCATAACTATGTAGGACCCTTGTAGTAAACCCTAAAGCCTACAAACCGCAGCACCGCCGGCCTCTTACAGGGTTCTTAAGGGCGACCCTAAACCCTCAAAGGTAAACCCCAAGCCCCCTCCCTTAAGAACCCTATAAGCCTCCTGCAGGCTGTCGAACATGTCGGTCAGATTCGGCGCCGGGGAGACAGACAGTGCCCCGCTGCGCACGTTCAGGGTGAAGAGCTGGTAGCCTTGAGGTGGCCCAAAGAAGTTTGGGATTAGGGGTTTAGGGTTTAGGGCTATGGTTAGGGTTTAGGGTTTAGGGGCCTAACACAAGCAACCTTAAGCACCCCAAGAAAGGCCCTTGAAAGCATTGTCTTTTCCCAAACCCCAGAAAGCCTGAAACAGGCCCTGGAAAAGAACCCCCGACTATCAGCTAAGCCCTAAACCCGAAACCCTAAACCCTAAACCCTAATGAACACCTGCTCCCCAAGCCGCCACTCATTGTAGCGAGCCCCGTGCGCACGTCGAAGACGATGCTCACATCTCCTGGTCTCCACCCTCCAAAAAACCCTCTTCGGGGGTTTAGAGTTTAGGTTCTAGGGCCAGGGTTCAAGGTTTAAGATTTAGGGTTAGGGTTTAGGATTTAGGGTAGTTTCGGATTGTTGAGGCTTTTAGGGCCTCCCTAACGGTTTAGAAGCCTCCTTGTGAGCTCCCGAAGACGTATGGGACTTGAAATTCTGGACCGATTTGTTAGGTTACTTCGGTTTTTGGTTTGGGGCTTAGGGTTTAAGGTTTAGGGCTTAGGGCTTAGGGTCCAGGGTTTAGGGTTTAGGGTAAGGTGGCACACGCTGAAGCCAAGCGTCGGCTGCCGCATGTCGCCGAAAAGCGAGTGGGCGGCACACGGCCTTCCACCAACCCATCTCGGGGTTTACAAAAATAGGGGAGTTTAGGGTTTAGGGTTTAGGGTTTAAGGTTTAAGGCTTAGGGTTTGGCGGGTTTAGGGTTTGTGGTTTAGGGTTTGGACCCCGATATAGATCCCCAAATAGTAGCATCCCCTGAAAAGGAGACCCCAATAAGGTACCCCTAATTTCGGAAACCCCCATCTGGGAAGGTTGCACGATACAGGGGACATCAGGGGGCCTTGCAGGCCTGGACGGAAAGACAAACATGCAGATGCGGCGCATCGCAGCAAAACGGCGCAGGGCACTGCATGCCATTCACTTTGCGTCTAGGGCTTTGGCTCAACATGCAAAATCGCCTCGACATGAAAACAAGCGCCGATTTTACACACCGATGCAACCAACACTTCAAACCTTACCATACCGGGTCCTATATGATCAGAATGTGTATGTTGGGCAGAAGGAAGACAGGAATGACAAGGAGATGGTCTTGGCAACCTTTGCTATCATGCTCATCTTTTGCGACCCCTAAGCCCTAAACCCTAAACCCTGAACCCTAAACCCCAAACCCTAAACCCTAAACCCCACACCCTAGACCCTACACCGCGTGCCTTGGATGCTGTCTTGGGCCTGCAGTGTCTGGGCAATCTTCCCCACCGCAACAGACCTGGGAGTCAAATGGTTGAAGGTTCCGGGGTCCTGCACAGTTTAGGGTTCAGGGTTTAGGGCTTACGTAGGGCTTACGTAGGGCTTAGGGCTTAGGGTTTAGGGCTTAGGGTTTAGGGTTTAGGGTTTAGGGTTTAGGGTTTAGGGTTTAGGGTTTAGGGTTTAGGGTTTAGGGTTTAGGGTTTAGGGTTTAGGGTTTAGGGTTTAGGGTTTAGGGTTTAGGGTTTAGGGTTTAGGGTTTAGGGTTTAGGGTTTAGGGTTTAGGGTTTAGGGTTTAGGGTTTAGGGTTTAGGGTTTAGGGTTTAGGGTTTAGGGTTCCATTTAGGGTTTTTGGGGGCCTGGGGTTTAGGTTTAGGGCTTGGTGACCAGGATGATGGCCCTTCAAGTAGCGCTGCACCAAGACTAGACAATAGGGGTCGGAAGAATTACCAGAAGTAGTAGTAGTAGTAGTAGTAGTAGTAGTAGTAGTAGCAGTAGTAGTAGTAGTAGTAGTAGTAGTAGTAGTAGTAGTAGTAGTAGTAGTAGTGGTAGTAGTAGTAATAGTAGTAGTACTCCTTTTTGGCCCCTGTACCTGTATGATCATACTACAATAACCCCTCAAACCCCCATTCTTATAATTCAGGCTGCTTTCTTACTTGACTGTATGAAGATGTACTTGACTATTTACTATACACTTGACAGTCGAGCCTGTAGCTAGGTCATTGCCACTGTCACCTGCACACCATACATTCCTCCTTGTCCTAGATGCCTCGTACCTCATGCTCTATCTTCCATGGCCACTTACCTACCTACAAAAAACGTAAATGCCTGTAGCCTATCCAATACCACCGTACGCGATACTGTGCGGAAAGTTTCTACTTTACCCCAGACCCCCCCCCCAAAAAAAAAAATGATAATAATCATAATGATAATAATAGTAATAATAAAGGACAAAAACACGTGTTGGAGTACACATTGTTGAAGTACACAAGTCTTTTGCTCGTGCGACATCGTGCTTGAGCGCTCACACTATTCTCCAGCGTGTAGGCCGCTGAATTTGGAAGCAAGGGTTTTAAATCTTGAACCCTAATCCTAAGCTTTAAACTTTAAACCCTAAACCCTAAACCCTAAACCCTAAACCCTAAACCCTAAACCCTAAACCCTAAACCCTAGACCCCACCCCCGCCAGTGTTAGGCACATCTCGCACGCCCCGCAATCCACTGTTGTGCCGTGAGACACGCTCGAGGCTCCATAGGAGATCGTGCCCCAAGTCTCCGGGGCCAACACAATGACCTCCAAGGGTGTTTAGGGTTTAGGGGTTTAGGGGTTTAGGGGTTTAGGGGTTTAGGGGTTTAGGGGTTTAGGGGTTTAGGGGTTTAGGGGTTTAGGGGTTTAGGGGTTTAGGGGTTTAGGGGTTTAGGGGTTTAGGGGGTTAGGGGGTTAGGGGTTTAGGGGTTTAGGGGTTTAGGGGTTTAGGGGTTTAGGGGTTTAGGGGTTTAGGGGTTTAGGGGTTTAGGGGTTTAGGGGTTTAGGGTAAGAGCGTTTCAAATGGCCGTGTGCCAAAACCCCCGGTTGTCGCGGACCGCGCGCGAAACCGTCTGTTACAGACCTATGTAACGCCCGTCTTGATGCAGACCTCTGTCGCGCGCATGCACGACTGGAAGCCAAAAGGGAAAACAAGACAACAACAAGCAGGTCTGTCGCAAACCCCCGGGCATTGCTACGTACCCTATGTAACGGGGTATGTCGCGCGTGTGGGCCACGACCCTGTTACAAGCAATTAATATTGGCACACGGCCAAATGTCAAGAGACGAAATCCGTTGGGATAGTTGCAGCATCATGGTACAAGGAAGAGTCCAGAACTCCTACCTGCTGGCTCCATGCGGGGAGCATCAGCCTTGAAGCTCCCCCCCCCGAACCAAGCCAGAGTCACACCTGTCACACCTGGAAGCTTCAGACGAGTCCACGAGCGCCGGCGCTTCTAACATCCGGTTTGGGGTTTGTAGGGTTTGGGATATGGGGTTTGGGGTTTGGGGTTTGGGGTTTGGGGTTTGGGGTCTGGGGTCTGGGGTCTGGGGTTTGGGGTTTGGGGTTTGGGGTTTGGGATTTGGGGTTTGGGGTCTGGGGTCTGGGGTTTGGGGTTTGGGGTCTGGGGTTTGGGGTTTGGGGTTTGGGGTTTGGGGTTTCGGGTTGAATTCTGCAGTCCCCTCCTCGGGACACCAAAAAGACAAACAGTTCCGAATGGTCCTTGGAACCCCAAAGAAAGACCACAATTTCTCAGAAGCGGCCATGAACTTCCGAGGCAGACAACAGGGCACGGGGTCGTGCCTGTCCCAGAACGCGATGAGGACCGAAAAACAGGCCTTGCGATGGGGCGGTGAGGGTGCCAATCTGATCTGCCTTGCTTCTTCTATGAAGCTTAGAGGTTTAGGGTTTAGGGTTTAGGGTTCAGGGTTTAGGGTTCAGGGTTTATGGTTTAGGGTTTAGGGTTTAGGGTTTAGGGTTTAGGGTTTAGGGTTCAGGGTTTAGGGTTTAGGGTATAGGGTTTACAGTAGGGTTTAGGGTTTAGGGTTTAGGGTTTAGGGTTGAGGGTTGAGGGTTGAGGGTTGAGAGTTTTGTGGCAACCTTACATCCGTCAATTTGTCCGGTCAGGTTCGTAGATCTCTTTCTGGGAACTTCCAGCCTGGGGAGCTTCCGACACACGAGGATCACAAGGATTCTTAACTAGACTGCTGGTTTCGGGCTTAGGTGATTAAAGCAAGTTAGGAGCCACATGAATTCAGTTCGAGCCTTAAAACCCTAATTACTAACCCTAAGCCAACTTCCCCCTAACAAGGGCTGAAAAACCCTGAACCTTGAACCCTGAACCCTATCTCCCCAAACCCTAAGAATCCGGCTCTGAAAGTTCCTGGATACGGAACATGTGTCTAACACTCCCCTGCGAACCTCAACCGAACTCTTATTCTCCCAATTCCTAAACCCTTAATGCCCCCTAAACCCTAAACCCTCAACAGCCCCTTTGCCTTCAGTATCCCGGATGACGCAGACTCCCCCCGGGGCGGCGGGGAGTCCCGCCAGAGCCAGGTCGGCGACGCCGGCGCCTTTCAAGACCTCGCGGAAGGGGCTTCGGGGGGGTTTCGGGTTTGCGGTAAACCCTAAACCCTAAACCCTAAACCCTAAACCCTAAGGCCTTTGGGGTCTACAGAAGTCTTATAAAGGTGAAGTTTTGGGACCTTTGATCCCCTACTTGGCGGGACGACGGTGTGGGGAAGGGAGCATGTCACACATGCGTGCGACAGTCACGACGTTCGAATTGACCCTAAAGTCTTGGCATGTGAAGAGGCCTCTTGTTTTTGGAGACGGCGCCTCTAAGAGGCCGTGCGAGTAACCACAATTTCTGGGGCTCGGGGTGGGGGGTGGGGTGGGGGGTGGGGGGGGGGGGGGGGGGGGGGGGGGGGGGGGTAATCACGTGACTTGGGACTTCACGCCTGCAACCCCAAAGCCTGAACCACTAATCCCCAAAGGCCTAAACCCTTGCTGTTTAATTCGGGGTTTATAAGCAAAATGCGCCCGCGCCTAGGCGAGAGCGCAATTTCAAGCAAAAAATGTGTCCGAAACTTCAAAACGACACCCCCTAAGAAAAAAACACAACAAACAAACGATCCTTACACCCAAAAGAATAGTCCAAGCAGTGCAAACCCAAATCCTGAAACCTGAACCCTAAACTTTGAACCTAGAACCCTGAAGAAGAATCAACTTGAGGCCACTTTCAGGATCCAGTGCACAAGTGTGTTGGGTTACAACCAAAGCACAATTCCAGAAAATCACGCCTGCGCTGTGGCGAGAGCACTATTTCGAACCTGAACTGCCGGAGCCATAACGCAGAAAAAACTTCCCGAACCGAAAATCGCCATTTGAAAGTTCAACATGGGGAATGAGGAAAACGTGCCCGCGCCTAGGCGAGAGCGCAATTTCGAGCAAAAAACGCATCCAAAACTTCAAAAAAAAAAGACCCCCTGGAAAAAAAACAACAAAAAAAACGATCAGGCTTCGAGCGAAAATGCATTTTTCCGAAAAAAGACCTAACCCTTCAGTGTTTTCGAGCCCTGCAAATGCTGCGGTCATGACGAAAATGTGTTTCGCTTGGGTTTTAGCCCCCGACGCGAAAAATGTAAACAAAAAATGTGTTCACTCACACGGCCTCTTACGGGCGCCCGCCACCTTGTTTTTGCAGACCTGTGCCCAAGACCAAAAAACACCAAACTCCTAGACCCCAAGCACCAAACTCCCAGACCCCCAAATCCCGGACCTCCCCGTGGCCTCAGCAGCGTTGGGTTTCACAATGAGCTCGAAACGGTCGAGCAAGCCGAAGTCCTCCATGCATGCGCTTAGGAGCCTCCCCTCAACCCTAAACCCTATACCCTAAACCCCTAACAAACCTAAAAAACCCAAGAACCCTGAAAACCCTAACCGTAAAAACCCTAAAAACCTTAAAAACCCTAAACACCCTAACAACCCTAAACCCCTAGTAAAGCCCCACTGAAGCCATACTGAAGCCCCACTGAAGCCCCCAGAAGCCCCCCCCCCTACAACCACAGGCTCGGGTCCAGCAGAGGCTGCATCGTGTCAGGCAGGCACCGCGTCTCCAGACCCAGCCTGCAGCTTCCAACCCTGAAAACAAAAGCAAGAACCTACTTGGAGGGGTTCACGGTACTCATTGCCCAACGATAGCTGTACGTGTAACTGTACTGATGACCATACCAGGGCACTTAAGGGGCTTGTTATAATTGGATAATAAGTACCATGAACCTCCAAGTAGCGACGTTCTTTTCGAAGCCCCCAAACCATCAGCCGTTAAGGCTTGACGCCCTCAAGCCCTTGAAATCTGAGGCCCAAGACCTTAAGAAACGACTTGTGCCCTCGAACCCATAACCGGCAAACCCCAACCCACAACTCTAAACCCTTAACCCTACAGGGTGGGGCCCCCAAGTTATAAGTAGAGCTATAAGGGCCCTAAATTGGGTTATAAGGATCCTAAGTTAGGTTATAAGTCCCTTAACTACAGTTAGTATAGTAAGGGGGCCCCACCACCCTAAACCCTGAACCCCAAAGCAGTGGCCTGAAGTACAGGGCGGGCGCCACCCGGGCCCTGAAGCTCTGGCCCTCCGGTGGGACTACAAGCACAGAGCTCTGGTAGGCCATCAGGGATCCTCAGATGGAGCTTTAAGGTTTAGGGTTTAGGGTTTAGGGTTTGGGGTTTAGGGTTTAAGGTTTAGGGTTTAGGGCACTGTCGATCTGACTGCTGGAAAAACAGTTTTGAGAAAGTCCTGCAGAGTCCTATAGAGCTCCCGGACTTGTGCACGAAGACTTTAAGTGCCCAAAGATCAGCTCCTAGGGTTTAGGGTTTAGGGTTCCGGGCAATTCGGCCTGTGACAACCATGGCCGCGGATGCGTTGAAGAGGCCCTGGCAGGGTAGAATCCGACAGGCTTAGGATGTTCCTATGTTTTGTGCGCGCACCCCTTCCCCCGGCCCCGTTTCCCCCAGCCCTACAACTCCCGCCAACCCTACCACACATTTTAATTCTAAGAGGAAAACCCATCAGGCCATCCATCGCGTCATCCATATAACGACCACTCTTTAACGACAACCACCTCCGCTGAAGATTTTGTAATGAATTAAGAAATGCTTATTTTTGAATAATTTTACGTAATTTCAATTAATTTTAACATTACTTGTAAAATTGTTAATTACTTGAAAAATTCATACTAAGTTTACTGCATTTTACTTAAGTTTCATTAATTTTGATGGATTTTGATGAAGTTTAATAACGTTTAATTGATTTGACAATATTTTAATCAATGCTAATTACTTTTAAATAATTTTATTTATTGCAAGGAATTTTACTTAATTTTCATTAATTTGATTAATTTCAATTAATTCTGACTACCTCCAATTAAAATTACCTACATTTACTTTAAAGTAATTAAACTTAATTAAAATTAATTCAGAAAATAAAACAAACAATTAAAATCTATCGAAAATAAACTAGCACATTCAAAATGAGTTCAAAACAAATTAAAAATCAATTTTGTTTATATAAAATCAATTAGCATTAATCTATAAAAAAATATTGATTAAAATCAATCAAAATTGATGAACATGAATTCAATAATTTAATTTTAATGAGTGTTTAAGTGATTTTGATTTTTTTTCATTTTATTTAATTTTAATTTCTTTTAATTAAGCTTGAC